TATGCAGTCGGGCTTTTCAGCCTTATTCGACTCACATATAGGTTTGAACTGGACATCATACCAGTTGTGACTCGATCGAACATTGTTGCTTGAGGTTGGGTGGATTTATTATAAATCCACCAGCAAAAAAAGTGGTATTTCGTTTGTATGAGCGTGGCGCTTCTTTGTACTCTAGATTCTTTGTTATGAGGTAAGTAAACACCGGCAGTAGCCCAACCGTAGTTGTTATTAATATTTCGGTAGTAATGACAGTACTATGACCTGTAGTAGCCATGATATCATGAAGTATATTAATAAACGCTATGTTGTTAAATATCAAATTATGTTTTATATTTTAATACACAAATAATTAAATGCATGTTAAGTTCTTATTATTATTAATTAAATAAATTATATAAAACTAAATTGTTAACGAAATTTAATTTAATCATATAAAATAGACTGATCATATAAAATTCATGGAAAGTATTTAAAATTAATAATTATAAATTTAAACACTCAATAATGAACTATTTTGTGTGCCCTTCAACCAAAGAATCTATAGTACAAAGAAGTGCCACGCTCATACAAACGAAATACCCACTTTATTTTGCTGGTGGATTTATAATAAATCCACCCAACCTCATGCAACAATGTTCGATCGAGTCACAACTGGTATGATGTTCAGTTCAAACTCATTGCAACCCACAATTGTTTTTATATGCCTGTTTCTTTTGCCTTTCTTGTTTTTATTTGTCTATTTAATTCATATACATGGATTAGTAACGAAAGTGAATGGTAAAGAAATCCCTCAAATAATTTTTCGATATACTTTGTTGCTTTATCTTATTGTACTGGAAAGGCGTTATCTTATTGTAGGAGTAAAGAGTAATAGAATTTATTATTTTTTTTATTGCAACAAATGATGCACTACAAAAAGCATTATGTATGTACAAATGTGATATTGGAGACATTAAGTCTGCAGTATATTAATATGTATGTTTTTATTGCACATTTATGCATATAATTTACCTCAAAAGGAACTACTTCTTAATAGTTTGAATTTTTGGTGACTTTTTGTGATTATTTTAAAAAATATTTTTAAGATTCATATAAAAGTGTTTGAAAAGTATTTTAAAGAAAATAAAAATATTAGAAAAGTAAGAAAAATTATATTGAAAAAATGTATAGAAGTCACTAAAACCACTAAGCGCATGAGTTTGAGGAAGTTTGAGGAAGTTTGAGGAAGCGCATGAATGCTATTTACAAAGGATTGAAATGTTAAAATTGGAAAAGTCAGAAAAAGGAAAAAATCAGATTTGAGACATAAATAAATTTGTAATGTGTTTTTACACTACAATTCATACCAATAGCAAACAGGTAATTTTGTTTCATATGCTATTAAATTCAAAAACTTATCAAATGTACACAATTTTGACTTCGTCACTGAAATGCTGTTTGATCGCTTGAACATTTTACAGCGAACAAACATACAAACATGCATATAATGTAATACAGAGGGTTGCATGTATGATTGAATACGTATGCAGTCGGGCTTTTGTCAGCCTTACTCGACTCACATATAGGTTTGAACTGGACATCATACCAGTTGTGACTCGATCGAACATTGTTGCATGAGGTTGGGTGGATTTATTATAAATCCACCAGCAAAATAAAGTGGGTATTTCGTTTGTATGAGCGTGGCACTTCTTTGTACTATAGATTCTTTGGTACTACTAAATTGAACTCATGTCATTTATAAAGAAAACCCTTTCACTCCACTAACACAAGCAATCATTGTATAATACATCAAAATAAACAAAACTGGATCCAAAAACCGCAAAGAAGAATAAAAAATGGGTTCTAGAATAAAGTATCGTTAAGCTTTCTGTAAAAAAATCTTTGTATAAATATTATCAATATTAAAATATGTTATATATAGGTAGTGCGAATATTTGTTTGTACATTTTTTTTAATATATTAATTTTCATTAATATACTAATTTTTAATATAATTAAATTGTGTTAGCTTTTTTTTTGGTTGAGTTTATAGAATTTTTCAGGCATGATTTGACTAAATTCTGTTTATTCTCTAATTAAGTAATGTTTATTTATATAATGATTTTATTAGTATTAATTTATTTTAATTATTATATCATATTTTATAAATTCATTGATATAAATTCTCTAATTGTTAACTATTCGTAGAGTTTTTTTTTTTATAAAGCTTTGAGTTAATATATTTAAAATTCATTTTTAGTTTAATTCAAAAAAAAACAGTTACTATTTAATCTTTTATTTATTTTTATTTTATAGTAAGTAAATATTATTGACATGAGTTGTGGAGATATATTGCTAAAATAGCACATTTAGCTTTTTTTTATTAGAAATTCGATTTTTTTTCGTTGATATATTCTCCTGTAAACACGGTTGCCACTTGAAAATTTTTTTCTGTACCAAAATTGGTTTAAAAAGGTACCATTTCTGTAAAAAAAGGTCCAAAATTTTTTTGGACTTTTTTGTTTTCTCGTTCTTTGTTTTTCATAGTGTTATAAATGAACATAATATAAAATAGTGCAAAGTTGCATTTATAAAAAAAATTAATTGGAAATATCCACAATAAAGTTGGGTCGTCAAAAATGTACCATTTTTTGAAAGTGAGTACCAAACGCAAAAAAAAAAAAAGTACCAATTTTGGTACTAAAGTATCATAAGTGGCAACCGTGCCTGTAAAAGCAATATACTCATTCCGACTCTTCTCTAACCGTTCAATTTTTTTTTAAGACAAATCATTTTTTCATATAAGCCATGCGACTTTCTAAAAACCATCTGAGTTTGTTAATTATTGTGTAACGTTAAACTAACTGGGAACAAAGCGCTAAACTGTTTGATAGATAAATTGAATTTATGCGTAACACAGCTTGATTACTCCAAACCTTGAATTAAAAAAATAATCTTTTTTTTTTGGAAAATAATAGTATTACAAACATAAAAAAGGGTATTACTTCAAGATAGCAATAATTTCATGCAAATATTATCAAGATGGCGATCGATAGCGGCTTTAATTCATATCATATATCAAACAAGAATCGTACTTCAACGATTTCTCATTAATTTTTAGGCTTATATATATTATATTTAGGACTCATATAAAAATAGTGCTAGTAACCAGTATGAAAACATTATCTATGGACATTATTTTCTTTTACTTTTATAAGCAGCGATGGTGAAACCATGAAATAAGTATCATAACTTTCGGAGTTCATATTTCATACATTGTTAACGCATTAAAGGAAACGACGTAGACTCCATAAATTATATATATATTTTTAATAAACTTGACGAGTTGAATTTAGTTTGCCCTGATCGCCTATTTGTTTGCAACTTTAACAAACACTTATACGAAAATAAATCTTGATCATTTGGAATTGGTCGAAATACGAGGGTCACTGTTTATATTTTGAACTCAGTAAAGAAAAAATACTGACTTGTCGTTGAAAATTCCTTTATTGTTTCTGAAAGTATTCTTACACTTCATGCGTTTAAACCATTGGTCAAAACATTTCTTCCAATCTTTTTCAAACACCTACAAAACATGATTTTTAAATCCAACAACGGCTTCGGTGTTACTTCCGCCGACAAAAATCGTTGTCCACTCAATCTATACTTGACGTTTGGGAATAAGAATAAGTCATTGGGTACCAAAACAGGACTATACGGCGAATGACCCATCAATTCGATTTTTTTAATGTTCAAATAACCGATTGTTGGACAAGATGTGTGAGCACTCGCACTGTCTTGATGAAGATGAAGAATGATTCGACTGCACAAATAACGCTCTTTTGACAAAAAGTCTAAATTAGTCTAAGTCTCGTAGACCACTATATTATATCTTGTCATATTCCTATAAAATGAACAATCAAAAATGAGTTTACTTTGTTTTTAATAAAGATATTCAAATACAATTTGGCTAGTAGGTTATTTATATAAGAGAATGTACAAAATTTTATTTATATCGGTTCAGATTTAGATATAGCTGTCATTTAAACTGTCTATTTAGACACATGTCTTTGTTAGAAAAAGTTTTTTATTATCTATTATTAATTATTTTACTAATAATTAATCGATTTAAATTTAGACATAACTCGTATATAAGTGTATAGATGTTTTGGGATTATATTTTTTTAAAAAAATTTTTTATTAAATTGATTTTTAACGTCCGTTTTGACGAAAGAAACTTAATTCTTAATGTAAACTATATAAACATATATATATAAATTAATATAAACAGAGGTATTGCAAAGTGTGTTAAATTACAACAATAAAACCTTATTATTTTAATTCATTGAATTTTTGGCTGACCATAAAGCTGTTTCGAGATTTGTCAAATATCCATCATCAGTGGTCTTCGAATTATTACTTATATTTAATTATACGTATATAATTTTTTAGGTCTGTAAGTTCCAAGGATGGTTGAACTCGTGCCCTTGTTCAGATTCCATGAAAAATTTTTTTTTGATTATTTGGTAGATACATTGGAAAACACAAATATTCTGTACAAAATTTCATTTAAATATTTTAATATATCAGTTTTAATTCTCTATCAATAGTGTAAATAGTATATGCAGGGTTATTTATTTAGTTCACATACGTTTTCTAATAATAATAATAATGAAATAGTTATATTAATACTTTTTATAATTCTTTTATTGAATATAACAATTGTTCCCAAAAAACACATTTGCTCCTAAATTACTCTGGAGTTCCACATGTCACTCTATACTGTATATTTCTATTAATGACTGCATAGAACCGAGTTAAATGCGACTTAATCTTTTAGTAATCTATTCTTTCTTATAAAACTTCTGTTGCATAAAAAATTTATTACAACATAATTGCATAAATAATTATATTATCAATATAAAACTTATAACATATATAATAACGAAATAAACTAAATATTTTAAAATTAATTTATTAAACATATATATTATAATTTTGGTGATTCTCTAATTTTTACAGAGCGTCGTGCTGGAAGGTAAATATTGGAAACGACAAGTCGCTGTAATTCAAGCAGAATACAGGAAATGGAGACTCAATTCAAAATCCAAAGCCAGTGGATGTTTGACCTACGACAGTGTGAGTAAAATATATAATATACTTATATTGTATATATACATTTATAAATAAAACTTAAGTATTTCCGATCTACAATTTTAAATAATAAAATTATTTTAAAAAATAAAATATGTTATATATATTTTTAAGCTAAGAAATATAGTAATTTTAAAATTCCCATGAACCTTGTATGTGCAATAATATAAGAAAAATTATACTAGGCAAATTATACAAGGCATCTCTTTCAATGTTATAGTTGCAACCTAACTTATGAACGTGATAGTTGATAATTGATAAAGCTTCGATATTTTAAAAGCTCTTATAAAACTTCATATAGACATGTTAAAAAGAGTGTTAAGCGGTACTTGGAAGTCGATAAATACAAGTAACTATGAGAGGTAGATCATGCCTCTACTGAACCCCAAAAACTTATGGAAAAGTATTAACCAAATTAAATTACCTAAATTCGACGGACTGGATTTAATCTTTACTCTTCTATACTAGAGGTAGCGAAAAGGCGGAAAACCGCTAATTAAGGTACATGGGAGTTATCTAATGGCCCGCCACTGTCACCAACCAACCAACCATTAACCGAAATAAAGCATGTAAATCAGAAGTCTATCCTAAAAGTCTCGTCGTCTCAGAGATTTGCTTCTCTATTGTAGTGCGATTTGTAAAATTTGGTGGTTTTCAGTTAATGTTATTACTCTTTTGTTTTATATATCAATTGTATAGTATTTCCTTATTTTATTTACTATTTAATATTCTTATTATGTATATTTCCTATATAATTTTTGTATCTATACGTAACAGTTTGATACACAATAGGCACCTATAGCCCAATAAAAGTTAGTTTTTATTTTTGCAGTAGTTTCTATCTACTGCAACAAAAACCACAGCGTTAAACTTTAACCCACTAAAACCACTTCTTAGGAATCAATGGAGAAGATTTTCACCCCATTGCGGAAACTTCACTTCAGTAATTAAGAGAGATTTGGTCAAAAGGCTTGATACCTAGAAGTCTAGGTTTATCTAAGTTAGAAAGCATGGGCGTGGCACAGATAGACAGTGGTCTATTGCGCAAGCACGGGGGTGGGTTAATAATAAACTCTAACAGCAAGTTTACGAGAGTCACGGTTGTAGAGCGGATATAAATGATGACTGGGTTCTAAAATAATTACAAAATGCACGGGTGTGTGTTGAAAATAAAATGGTACTAAAAAATTTTTGAATATATTGTCACTGGTTGCTATATCTCAATAAAATCCTCCAATAAAGTAAGCGATTAAAAGGGATTTGATAAAACTTTATATATATCTACAGATCATAGTTTTGTTTTAATAAAATAGCTTTATAGTAATACTAATTACTAATACAATAAACTTATTAAGAATAAAGAGTTAAAGGAAATCATCAATATATACAACTTAAGGATACATATATCACGTTCCTTCATGCTTATCCAGCTCATTGCAGATGCTCCGAAATTGTGAATAATGTTGAACTAAAACTAAGGAGGAGAATTAATTAAACTAATTAAGGAGAATTTGACCTTGTTCGATTTCACATGTTTATTAAGAGACTACATTAATTAATTAAATTAATTAATTAATTAAACTAATTAAGGAGAATTTGACCTTGTTCGATTTCACATATTTATTAATAGACAGACACCTAAACTTGTTCACATTTAGTTTTTAAAAAAATTTTAAAATAGAAATAGATCTTAAATTAAACTACATTGTTCTTCATATATATAATTTAAAAGACATTTATTTGTTTTAATAAATTTTAAAAAACAATTGTGCATTTTCATATATCAATTTGGTTTTTTTTTCTCAATATTCAATTCTAACTGACTTAACCAGTTACTTCCTCAGCAATTACATATTATCCAACTACTTTTTCGTATATGAAATATGTGCGTTTGTACGTTTATTGATAGGAACTTTTAAGATTGCAATTAAATTTTCTCGCTCATATATTTTGTAGAGCTCTCCATTTCTTTAAACTGTACTAATATGACCATATATGTGAATATGGCTGTAAAGAGCTGGAAAAATTAACAGAATCTTAAGCAAATCATTTTTCAGAAGTACTTATCCGTATTATAGTTACCTTAAATAATGTACTCTTATCAAGTGAAAAGAAACCATAGGCTGTCAATATCGGTTTCGGGCGCAAGTTCTTTAATAAAAATTTCTCTATCTGTAAAAAAAAGAAGAAATTACATAAAATATTTTTTATTTCACAAAAAAAAAAAAATTACCATCTTTTCGATACCGGTGCCGGTACGTGGAACATTTGATAAAATTTTGGATGTTTTATTTGCCTGTAAAAATAATAAATTAAGAAAAAATATTACAACAAATTCTTTATAAAAAAATATATATGGGATAATAATTCAACATTTGTTTAATATTTTTTAATATATTCTATATTTCAACTCTCCTCTAGAGTCTTCAGAAGGATCACGATCTAACATAAATTAATATTAATAAAACTGTATCTACATCATCCTCTTTATTCTATTGTCTATATTATTGTTGGGATAATAAAAAGTGTTTCTTTAGTGAAAATTTAAAATAATGTTTTTAAATTTATATTAATTTTTTTAATTTTAAAAATAAATGAGGAGTTTTTATGGTAGAACATAATATCTTTTCTCTTAATAAACTCGGATTCTTTTTTAATATCTTATTTCAAACGCTTTAATATCTGATAGTAGTGATTCGAACCAATCTTTTGAGCAGCAGATTACAATGAATGATATATTTGCAAACATCAAGCCTTATTATTTATCTTGACATTCTTTTATAATTTTTCGAATTTTTTCATTTTCGAAATCGTACTACATTATCATATGTTATAAAATTAACGTCTGCTGTTTCTATATAGCCATGTAAGTGAAGATTTGATAAATTACTTATTTGGTCACATAAATCCTTTGCTTTTAAACAGTGTTATATAAATGGTGTAAACCAGTAATCTAGTCAATTTTCACTTCCTTAGGGGTCTCTTGACTGCTCACATACCATCCATCCTGAATCGTTTCCATAATATCATTGATCATTTCGGCACTTGATCGAATGGAGCACGGATTGATTTTTTTGTTTTTTGGCTATAGGTGGAAAATGTCAACTGTGAAATGGAGCAATGGAATAACTTTTAACGTATAATCTTATATCTTTTATTTGAATAGTCTAAGAATGATATTTATTTGTTACTATTGATTTTAAATTAAATTTATTGATGTTGTATAAAAATCTTTTTTAAAGCTCCTCAGAAATTTAAAATCTTATTTCATAGTAATAAGATTAAACATTATACCATATTACGAACGATCAGAATATGTAAAAAACTCAGTATACGATTTGAAGTAGTTTGAAATGGTTTTCAGAAAGAAAATATGGGAATTTAATTTTTGTCTCTTACTTGCTTCTATTGGTGATGTACCCACATCACCTTGTTATTTAATAGAGAACAAGAGTTTTTTTTTTACTTATTAAGCGTTTTTAATTTTAGTTTTCTAGTATTCTATTATCTTCTTTATCTAGTTCCTAAGTTTTAATCACTTGGAAACAAAGTTTAAAGTTAGACAATACTTTCAATAAAACATTTCATCATTTTTATGTTTGTATGTGATTTATAAAAGCCTCGTACAGTCTTTAAAAAGAGAATGTAAATTACAAAATAAAAACATAGACCCATTTTTTTAAAAAATATATCCCTGCTGAAAATATGATTAAATATTTTAATAGTAGGAAATGCAAGTAACAAAAAATTTTATATATTTTTCTAAATATCTAATAAATTAGTTAATCAAGTAAAATCGTCTATATTTTTTTTGTTAACTGTTAATAAAATAAACAGTCAGAAATCGAAAGTAATTTATCCATTTTTTATATCAAATTAGTTTTTGTAAGTATTTATAAAATTGAGTTATGTGGAACTAAATCGAAACTAAATAAATTTAGATACTCTTAGATACTAATCCAATCTAGATACTCCTAAACTTCTAAGATAATTTGTTATGACAAATTAAAAATTGTATATATAATAATTTATATTATTAAAGAAAACTTTTCATGGTTTTAAAGAACCATTTTAAAAACTTCAAGTTATTAAAATTCATTATTAGTTGACAACAATCAATACTAAATTACCTCCAACGACACCGAATCCATACCCAATGCTTGAATATAAATTAATAGTGGCGATAATACAAGCAAAACAGATTTGTAAGATAAATTAATTATGATTCTTATATCCGATACATTCCATTCGTAAAGCATAAGCAATATATAAGGACAGGTTGGTACTGTACATAATACATAACAAGACTCCAAGCACATCGGTATACCATAAATAAGATTTAAACGCGTAGTGCATATAGCAATCAATTCCAAGCGTACATATAGAATCTTCCTAATGCTTTGAGTGTCTGCTTTGCCGATATGAGTTTGTGAAATCAACTTAATGAGATCAAGATTATAGACGATCAATAGTTGATGTAATATGTGTGCAATGCTGATGTAGATAGAAAGTATTAGTGTAGAAATAGAAAAGTGTATGCCGATTATAAAAAAGGTGCAGAGTATCAACGAAATCGGTACGCCAAATTCTGATAAAGTTTGTATTAAATTTATTATGAATATTAAAAAAATAGTCAGGTGCCAAAGAAACATATGTCGTAACTTTTGCGCTAATTGTAAGCCAATTTTTGTATCCACTATATGTTGACCATACTCTAAAATGGTATTCAATAGCTGTATGTGCTCCTGTTTATAAGTAAAGAAATGAGCACTTAAGGTAAGTTGTATTACAGCACATGTAATCAACTGTCCCAGTGCGAGTGTATCTCCAGTTTTGACTGTTCCGTACAAATGAAAATCACTCCTAAAAGAAAATAATATTGTCCAAATAAGAAATCCTTCGACAATACACAATGTAGCTAACGTCATCCAAAGAGTACGTCTTGCATTCGAAGCAGTGCTGACAAGTTTTTGTTCATCATTAGA